GGGGCGGGGTGAGCCCTTGCGGGAGGGGGTGGGAGCCGTAGACGCTTTGCTCCATGCCCAGCAGCTGCTGGGGCGGGGGCAGAGCGGTGTAGGGGTTCAGCATCCCCTCCAGCCCCGCGCTGCCACTGCCATTCGTCTGGGCTGGAAGATAAGAGCAAGCCGTCGGCACAGTCAGGCTGCTATTTGGGGGGCCCAGCTCCCTTGGGAAGCCCGGAGAGGGCTGGGAAATAGGGAGACCCTGAGTGCAGGGAGAGCTGGGTGTGAGGCAGGTACCTGAGCTCAGGCGCTGTGTGTTTTGCTGATCCTGCTGCTGCTGCTGCTGCCTCCTGGCGAGCTTCTTCATCTGGCCGAGAAGGGGAAAAAATGGGGTGAAATCATCCCCCAGCCAGAGCGAGGAGGGAGGGGAGCCCCGGCACTGGCCGCTGGTGGGGGGCTACCCCTCATACCCACCTTTGCTCGCTGGTTCTGGAACCAGACCTGCACCACGCGGACACTCAGCCCCGTCTCAGCCGCCAGGGTCTCTCGCACCTTGGAGAGAGGAATGACAGCGGTGTCTCAGCCCCCTCAGCTTTTTGGGGGGATTGTAGGAGGGGACAGAGCAGCCGGGGCAAGTCCTTGCCCAGCATCTAGGATATCCCTGGGGACTGGAGGCAGCTGAGCATGGGCCCTTCTCCCCATACCTTCCTGCAGGGCTTGGAGGAAACCTCAAACGACGCCTTGAACGCCCTGCGCTGCTGCGTGGTCAGGATCGTCCGGGGTCTCTTGGGCCGCTTGTGATCCTTCCCGTCCTCGGCGCCCTTCCCCGAGGCTTGGCCCAGTTTGCAGATGCTGTCCTCATCGTCACTTTTGCCTAAGGGGGGGGAAAAAAGCAGGTTCTTTACAGACAACAGGCAGCACACATAGTTTTCCAGCATGTCCAAAATAATCTGGGGGACTTAAAACAAGCTGGTTTTGGTGGGGATCTTCTTGTGAATGTGTGTGAGGAGCTGCGGTTTGGGGCTGGCTGCCCCATGGCAGCTCAGAGAGGGGAGAGCTGCTGTGGCTCATAGTTTGGGGTTGCTCAGCCAGCAGATGTGCTTTTTGGTTCTTCTTTTCCCCAACAGTCTGAGCAGCTGCAATGTGAAACCCTGGGACACTTGATTTTCCCTCCATCAGACCCAAATCCCTGCTTGCTCCACAGGGATTTCCTGCCAGACCACAGCTGGGGACACATCTGGACAGAGGCACACAGGTCGCACCCGCGCGAGGGGACAGCAGCCATCAAGGACTGCTGTGCCCCTGGGGCTGTCCCCCAGCCCAGCTGGTGACCAGGCATCTGGTCCCTCTGCCCGGACAGCGCAGGCTGGGGGAGGTCAGGGTGCAGGGTGAGCAGAGATGCTCAGAGAGGGCAACGCGTTAACCAAGACCTCACAAACCCCGCCTGATTTGCCCTGCCATGGAGGTCAACTCCATTTAGAGCACAGAGTTTTAACCACAAATGTAAGGGGCACCTTTTCACCTGTATTTCCTCTCTTCTGTGGAGTTTTAAATCTCCCTGGACAGAAGCCCGGGCTGCTTCAAGCTTCACCCCTTGGGTATTCGCTGCAACGTACTGCTCTGTTGCGTTCCCAGGCACTGGTGTGTATCTCCCTGCTGCTCTCTGCCGCTCAGGGCCGCGGGGCCTTCGGGTGGGAGCTGCTCCGGGAAAGTAGGCAGCGCTGCCCTGCCTCTTACCAGCCCATCTCATTTACCACATCGCCACCATGTCGATGACCTCGCTTGCATGGGAGGGCTGTAACACAGGTTTGACAGCACAGGTCCTTCCCTCCCACGAGCAGTAAATCACTTACAGCGTTTTCCAGAAAGCTACTCCACCATCCGTTTGGGAATCGATAACAGAGCTGGGGTGCTGGTTTGATGCAGACACAGGTTGCAAGGCTATGCTTGGCCTGAGTCCCATCCCAAGGCTGCTGCATCTCTGGGAGATGGGGATGCACCAGGGGGTTGTGAGCCTGTCCCAGAGTTCATGGGTAAAGCAGGGGGTTGTACCTCATGGCAAGAGCCATGGATCACACACATCAGAAAAGTGTAAATCCAATGGCAGCCCAGCTGGGAATGGGGAAAGACAGGAGCAGATCTCCGGGCTGAGGGGAGGCAATGATCCCAGCAGAGGAGCGAGGATGCTCTCAGGTACCAGTTACCTCTTCCCTCCGTGCTGCTGGGCTCTCTCCTGGGCTCACCAGCCGATATGGAGACCTTCCCTGTGGTGAGGGCTGGGAGGGCTGGGAGAGGGAGAGATCTTCATGCTGGTGGTCCCCAAACAGCCCGGAGCTGGGTGCTGACCCCCAGGAGCCAGAGCCTTGCTGCTGCCGCGAGCTCCCCATTTGCTCATGGCACATCTACAGCATGCCCATGGCAGCAGAGGTGACAGGAAAGACAAACTGCTGTTTTCTTGCATATCCCAACACGAGGGATGTAGTAATGCAGTAGGTCTGAGAGCCCCAGCGCTGGGTACCCCCAGGCTGCGGAGTCTCTGATGGCTAACGGGGTTGAGCAGCGGCCACCACTGCCCCCTTCTCAGTGCCAGCACAAGCAGGGTCTCTGCTCTGCTGAGCTGCCTGCTTTCCTGAAACCTGAAGGAGTTTAATTTTGATGGAAGGGTAGAGATTTTTACAAATATTGGGAGGAGGAATGTCAACCAATGGAGACATTTCAGTGCCTGAACCCCTTTGCACCCCAACACGAGGTGAGTGCCCCAATCCCCTTCAGTCCGGGAGGGCCAGGGCCCGGCAGGGAGGAGCCAGAGACTCATGGACTCCATCAAGCAAATGATGCTCAAAACCCACGCCAAGAGGGAAAACCCACTCAGAGCAGCCCCCTCAAGCCCTCCCCCCCCAACACCTGCTCCCCAAATCCCTCCCAGTGTCAATGGGAAAGAAGGAAAAGCGAAGCCGGATTTGGCGGGGTATTACTTTTAATTAACTCTCCCTTTCATGCCTTTCCCCACCAAGGAGGGGGGAGAAATTAATGAGTGTCTGGGGCTGCCCCTGACGTCACCTGGGAAGGGGCCGGGGCGATGGATATTGTGCGGCGTGCCCTCGGTCCGACCCGCTGAGCCCGCATCCCGCCGCCGGGGCCAGGACATTCCTCGCTCAGGAGGATTTAGGGAGAGGAGAAATGTTAGGACGCTTTTAATTGGAAAGCGGGGTCCTCTTTCAGAGGGGCTTGTTTACTTAGGCTGGGCGGCGGAGGCTCGGGGGAGGCAGTAATTGAAGCAAGGGTTTGGGAGATTACAGACAACATATGGCTCGCTTTTTATCTGTGCTTTCTCATAAAGTGGCCTTTGGTGCGCGGCGGCCGGGGGGGGAGGGAGGGCGAGGGGGCTTCAAAGCAGCAAGGGGGGGACGGGGCAGAGGCTGGACACGCACATCGCATGTTGCTGGTGAACGGCATCTGGGACCAGTGCTGGAGTGGGGACACACCTCTGCATCCCCTGGCATGGCAGTGGGGTCCCCAGGGCGAATGCAGCAGAAGGGGTCAAAGCCGCGCCACGCTGAGCATCCATGTGGGATGTGCACCTGGGCTGGCGCCTTGCCACCATCCCCAGAGCCACACGACATCCCGAGACAAACTGTGGTTGACCACCAAAACCAGGCAGGGATGGTGGTGGGGCTAAGCTATGGGGTCTGTGGGGAGATGGGAAGGGCTGGGACCCCCCAGGCCAGGGGCTGCCAGGGGATGACGGGGCGCCGGTTGGGTTTCCAACCAGCCAAGGGGTTGCCGTGCCCTTTTGACTTCCACACTGGCCCTTCGCATCCCTCGGATCTCAGCTGGAGTTTCCACCAAAATAAGTATTTCCCCTGGAGGTTTTTGCTAGTTGAAGCTCTTGGTTTGGCCAGAGCCCCTGGCAGCAGGGCTGGACCACAGGCCGATGAGTCGCTGGGGAGGAAAAGCTCCCCAACCTTTCCCAAACTGCCCTTTTCCCCCACTAGGAATAAATCCAAACCTTTGTGGTCAATTCACTTATTTTCATGCATGACATCTCCTCATTGGTTCCTATTTTAACTGAAAGAGTTTGCACAACCCAGAAGGAAAAAATAATAATTCTTCAATCAATTAAGGACTTTCCCAGGGCTAAGGCAAGAGCTAGCACCAGTGTGGCAGATCCTGCTGCTTTCCTGCCTCTCCAGCTCCTCCAGTGTTGGACCATCACTCACCAGCTCCCTTCAGCCACCTTCTCCCATGGCCTCACTCTTTTATTTTTTAAATATCATCACCATTATTTGGAGGGAGGATTTTTTTCTTTCAAGCAAGTGCAGTTGCAGAGCTTGGACAGAGCCAGCCACAGGCAGTGCTGCAAAGCAGCCGGGCTCTCACTGCAGAGGAGCACGATATTAAAGAGAAACACGGGCTTTGGGCAATTTTTGCTCCACCCCCACTGAAACCATCCCTGTCCCCCCACACACCTTCTCCCAGCTGCAGCATCACCTGCACCTGGCAGTGAGTGTCGGGCTTTGCTGTGTCCGTGACCTGCCCTGCTTCACACCTTAACAACCACCTCCTAAATGGGCTTGTAATGCTGATTTCTTTTTCTTTTTTTAAATCCAGTGCTTTGCTCTAGCAGGGAAAAGACAGGCTCCCCCCAGCTTGCCGGCAGCCCTTTCCAGAGCACAGCATTTTGAAGGTAAATCCTTCCCTCAATAAAGCAGATTTTCCCCCGATGACAGTTTTTAAGAGGAGCCAAGTGATCCAGGCACACGGCATGGGGCTGCACAGCCTCACAAGGAGCGGGGCTCTGCAGGGACAGCATTAACATGAGGATTTCTGCTAGCAGATCATTTCCACCCTGCCGGCCACCGTTGCTGGGCTTTCTTACTAAATTTGTCTTCCTGGGAAACATTCAGATTTGATTTGCATTGACTGTAGATACATATTTTAATGCTGATCTGATGCTCTGGGCAACCTAACGGGGCAGTGACACCCTGGCTGGAGCAGGATGCCAGCCCCCTGCCCACCTTCAACCGCGGTGCCACCTCTCCTGCAGCCCCCCTTGGCTCTGCGGTGTTCCTGCAGCATCACCGTGCTGGGTCTGCAGTCTGGCTCCAGACATCAACTGCCTGGGAAGCCATTGGGGACACAAGATTTGCAGGCTCCCTGCCGCCAGCTCATGTTTTAGCCCCATGCCTCAGTTTCCCTCTGTATTAAAAAGGGTGGCTACAGCAGAAGCAGCTCACTTATTGCACTCAGCCTTTCTCGAGTCCCAGGTGGGGACAGTGAGGCACAGGAGAGGGACACAGAAGGTTTAGCCAAAGGTAGTCAGTGGGGTGCTTGGGAATGGGATTTTTTTTAGGAAGAAAACTCTCATTTACAGTCTATTTATACCAGCGGCAGCTCCTCCGTTTCCCTGGGTGAGGAGGTGGGAGATGTGCCCTTCAGCCAGCATGGCTCTCCCTCCCTTGCCCAGGGAGGCTCTACGCCCCTTGGGATGGGGTGGTGAAGCCCTGCACAGGCCAGGAGCACAAACCCTTACAGAAACAAGCCTAATGAGATGGGATGGTTCCCAGAGCATCCTCCAGTCCCTCCGCTGCCAAGGTCCTTGCTCATGCCCTTGCCATTGAGGTGGGAGAGACTCTGGCTGGAGGATGCAACAGTGCTTATAGAGCTTTTCCCTTTGGACTATGGGGCAGAGGTTCAGAGCAGCAAACCCAAACCTCACCTCCAGACCCCACCGCGCTCACAGGGGCCTCAGAGCAGGACCAGCCAGGGAGACGCCGGGCGCGGGCGGCCCCTTACCAGAATCCGACAGAGCCGGGCTCACCAAGCTCAGCAGCTCCCGCTCCTTCTCGTAGTCGCCCTTACAGAGGAGCTGCCCCTCCTTCAGCACAAACTCATCGCCCTTCTGCAGGCGCCGCTCACAGACACAGCAGCAGAAGCAGCGCAGGGGGTAGACGCGCTTCTGGGCGCGCATCACCAGCTCGCTGGTTGCGATGGCCTCCAGGCACCCGGCACACTTCACCGCGAAGAGCCTGGGGGAGCAAGAGGAGATCCTGCTGGGGTGCCCGGCAGAACCGCAGCTGTACCCAGCAGGTGGCACAGCGCTGGGGAAAAGGGATGGGGCACCCATGGTGGGGAGACAGGCATTGGCACAGGGTCACTATGTCACCCCGTTGGTGTTTTGATTGCGTGCTGCAAGATTGCCCTGTGCCAATGGGGGGTGCTGCTTTTGGGTCAACTTCAACATTTTTGGTTGACCTGTCACCAGGTGCTTACCATGAATGTGGTCAAAGGACGAAGACCCCAATGTCCAGATGCTCCAGGTGAAAAGCAAACAGGTGTCAAACCCAACAGTCCAGCTACCACCACCACACGACCTGGGACGCACCATAAGCTTTATCAAGCCAACCCTACACGTCCACCTGCCTCCAGCTCATATCTAGATGTAAGGAGGTGCTGGAGATGGCAATGGGGCCAGTGAGCTCATCCATGCCTCTCAACAAGCACCTGCAGAAAGCATCTGTGCTGTTGGTCACCCACAAACCACCTTGGCCGTTTGGCCTGGGTCACTGGAACAGCCCCGTTCCTGCTTGCAAACACTTCAGGAATGTCTAATATATCATAAAAATCTCCATGGCAGCAAGTTTTGGGTTAAGGCCAGTGACAGACTGAAGACTTGATGTGTCAAAAGGAAAAGAAAAAGCTCAGCTTGTTCCTTGACATTGATGTGACAGTGTTTGAGGCATCCCTAATTGTACAGTTCCCAGGTTTCAACACACTGGCTTTATACTTCAAAGCCAATAATAATAATGACAGCAATAACACTTTAGGTTGAAACAGAGCTTTTCTTTCTCTGACTTTAAACGTCCTTATTGAGAAGCTCAGTAGCATGATCAATGATTTACAGTTGGGGAAACTGAGGTGAGCAGACCAGAGGTGGCAGCATCAGTGTTGGTTTGAGAGGAACTGGAGGCACATGGAGCTAAACCCTGGGCTGGATGTTTTAAGTGAATGGGATGTTTCCCCCTGTTGAGAAGTTTGAAGGTACCAAACCAGAACTTCTTTGCCACCCCCAGATATCTGTGTTTTTGGCTTGGGTCCCGTAAAGAAAAAGATCGCTGTTTACCCAGCCTTGTCCTAAATATCTGTGGGAACTGGACATTATTATTCCCCTGTCTTGATGCCTTTGGCCCAGAAAGAGAAGTCAGAAGTCAGCACACATCCTACAGAGGTTATCTCCAAGCATCGCCCATGTCCCAGCCTGGTGATGCCCCAGGGACCCACACTGGAAGCGCTGCATCCAGCCTTCCACCAGCCCCAGATAGCTCCCACCTCCGTGGTCCCTGTCCCATGTGTCATCCCTGGGGGAGACCTGCAGGGCCGGGGGGCTGCGGGGCTGGGGATGGCTGGCTGGGGAGGGGAAGGGCGGCCCTGCAGCCACCAGCAGGCTTTCAAGTCTTTCTCTTTTTTTGGCTGTTACAAAAAAACACATAGGAAATGAAAAGTGCCGAGTCAGCCCCATTCCAACAAGGAGAGGACCAGATGTATGCAAAAACCTCACAGCAAAGCCATCAGATAATGGGGATAATTTTAAAAAGTTTTTGTGATGAGCTCAATAGCCCATAAAACAAGGAGACGGCGGGCAGAGCAAGGCATGCACATGTCTTTTTGCCCCAGAGGCAGCTCCCAAGGTGAAGGCACCTGTAACACCAGAGATGCTGCTGAACAAAAGCTCCCCAGCAGCGCATGCATCTTGCTGCAGCCCATGCGCAGCCTCTGCTCCTGTGAAATCCCAGCCAGGCTTCATTTCACCTTTTCATTTCTGCGCTTTTGTTGCCCAATAGCCGATAAACAAGACAGTCAGCTCTGCAAACCGCTGGAGGGGGACAGGCAGGCTCCACCACACGGGCAGTGAGCCCGGGGGACTTGGCAGCAGCTGGTCGCATCTGTGCCCATCTCATCAGAGACCAACGCTTGCCCGTGTGAAGCCAGCGAGGCTGGGTAAGGCAGCACATCCCGCCGGCGCAAGGAGGGCAGATACGTGCAGGAGCAGAGGATGACGCCTTCCTCCCTGCGTCGATGGGCAGGGGCAGCCACAGAGCATCACCTCCCGATGTCCCGTGCCGCAGCTGGTGAGCACCGAGCTCCGGAGGCAAACAGCTGCCTGCCAGATGTGGGTGCAGCTGGCAGGGTGCCATGGCACACTGCCACCCGCCAGCGGTGCCCGCCAGCCTTTGGGGCTGGGGGTCGAGAGCTCAAAGGGCTGGAAATAGGGTCCCCAAATGTACCCCATTTTATGGGCGTCAGCTCCCTCCCACCTTGGGGTCATCTCACAGGTGCTTCATGCCAGTGCGTGGGCTATGCCTGCTCATTCCCAGGTCTTCCCAAAACAGCAGCACCGAGTACGGGGATGGAATGCATCGCTCTCCCTGTGCCAGCCAAATCCTGGGTGCACTCAGCAAATTGTAGCATCCCCCAAGAAGTAGGAAAGGGATGTTATAAAGCTTTTATAAAACACTATTGTTGCTACAGAAAGTGAAAAATCACCAAATAAAAGATGGAGATTAAGGACTTTATAATTCCAGGTAATGGCATTAGTAACATTTATTTTTGTAAATTCAACCTTAATTTCCCAGGTTTACATATAACTGTCTTTCTCTAAGGTATATATATTTTCAACGACCCTATGACTGCCCCCGGGAGGAGAGGGATGTATATTCCCTTGAAAGCATCCCTTCTGAAGGGTCATTTTTTCTTGTTCCAGCTCTGAGAAATGCAGGCTTGTGTTAATACTTTATGTTTCTGCAGTCATTTTGTCTTTAATTATGTCTCTTTTATATCAAAGTGGAGGTGATTTGTATTCATCTGGTAACACATTCTCATCCCGTTTAAATGAAGTTTAAGCCCTACCTGTTGGGATTACTAACTGCTCTCAGTAATAAAATACTGATAAGCTATTACATTACTGTTATCTAATCTTCACAAATTAATGTGCCCAAAATCTATGTTTCCAGGGCACTGATCAGAAAGCCATAAACCTTTGCCAATTAGGCACAGCAGCACCAACCGAGCGATGGATGTTTCTAAGCCCAAAGTGCGTTGCAAAACAGGAAGGTGTGAGATTTAGGTAAACGGTTGCCTAATACAAGACATTAAAGCCGTATTTAGGTTGCTGAATAAATGACTTAATTTCCAAACTGCTGAGATCCCAACAGCTCCCGCCGAGGGATGCTGGAGGGACGGGGCGTCTTTCACTGCCCAGTGCAGGCCTCCCCCATCCCTGGGCAACGTGAGATGCAGAGAAATCCCCGTAAAACCTTCTCCACAGCATGAAACCATAAAGAGCTCCTTATAACCCCACAATAAACCCAGATCTTAGGCACTAAAAGGTCACGGGCATAAAAACTGAAACCTACCACAGGTAGTAATGGGGAGAGAGCAAAGGGCATCACTGGTGTCCCAGGTCCCTACAGCGCTGGACCAGCCCTGGACAGTACCAGGTCCTCTATGGGGACTGGGGAGGAAGAGTGTGCACAGATAACCCCACACATGGATAACCCTATGCACGGATAATCCCACTTGGGAATAACCCCACAAAAGAGTAGTCTCACACAGGATAACTCCAGCCTGGATAACCCCTGCATGGATAGCCCCATTGAAACATTCCTGGTCAGCCTGAGATGGGGCAGAAGGAAAATTTTCTTCCAGCCCCAGATCTAGCAATTAATTCAATATTTGTGCCTGAGCAAGATGCACCAGCCTGGATACAGAGATGTTTTCCTCCACCTCAGAGATCTGCAGCTCTGTTCCCAGCTCCCTCCTGCTGCAAGCAGAAAGCTGCAGAGCAAATACCATTTTTCTCCCCTCTCTACCTCTTTGTGCCTCCCTGCAGCTGCAAAGGGGACTTGGAGATTACATTTCTCTACAGGAGGCTGCACAGAAGAGAAAAAGGACTGGCTCTGCCCAGCAACTTCAACAGGTTTTAAACCAAGAACAAATTAGCCAGCCCTAAATTGCAACGGGAGCGCCTTCATTTCTGCCATCCTAGGGATGCTGCAGGCTTTAGTTCTCAGCTTTTTTTTCCCCTCCATAGCATGGGATTCCAAGGCTAAATCAGGCCTGGCTGGCAGCCTTTGGGTTTGTTTAACCATGTACGAAGCTGGCAAGCGCAGGGACAGGGTGACCCGCTCACCACTGCGATGCTCAGCAGAAACCCAGCCTGCCACAGGCAGCTCAGTAAAAACCTCAACGAAGCACTGACAGTGAATATTTGTAAATAAATACATAAAAAAACACTCAAGTTAGGAAGAATTGGAACAACAATATGATGATGCAAGCAATTTTTATCACAACATACAACCTTTTGTTTCTGATCTTAAAAACCTTCCTTTTCCTGTATTGACTAATCTGCATTAAATTTTTTTTTTTAAATTTACGTCCCTTTTGAAATGACAATCTGCAGTTTTGAAACAGAAAGGTGGTGGTGGTGGGTTTCAAGAAAATCTTGAAACAAAATATTTTGCCATTTCCAAAAGTGCAACATTTCAGCTCAAAGATCCCCAAGCGAGCTAGCCGGCATTATGGGCATCCCCCCTTCCTCTGGGACACAACCCCACATCTCCGTGCAATTCCTCTTCCTTGAGAAAGCCATCCCAGACCTCTGCTTTGGGGTTTCCATCTGCGCAGCATCACTGAAACCTAGAAATTTCGACACGTGGTCAAAGCCACCTCTGGGGCGGCACATCCCATCCCCAGGGTACCGATGGAGGGGGGATGGTGTGGGCAGACGTGGTTTCCCATCAGAGCTGCCACCCCCTCTTTCTCCCTTTATTTTGAGGTGACAGGCTGAAAGGGGCCATGATTGACGGGCGCTTCCTGGCTGCTGTCTGTCTGCGTGCGCTGCATACAAACACAGCCCCTCGGAGACTCCCCAGGGGGGTTGGCGGGTCGGGGATGCCGATATTAAATACTGACGGACAAATCTCAAACGCCGCACGGAGGCTTGGTTCAGGCGGCAGGTAAGGCAAGGCAG